AAGTACAAGTTGTCATGTCAACAATGAACTTTACAACTTGGGGGGGGGAGGATTTGGTGGGGGCGGAGGGAGGATGGGAAGGGATGGGAAGGGTAAACAAAGGAGGAGGCTACAATGCTTGATAAGAAATGTACTCACTATCTTGCCCATGTAATTGTAACCCCCTCTGTACAGTATTTTCACAATAAAAATAATTTAAAAAATTGAATGTTCAGAAGATGTTTGAAGATTTTGTTAATGTAAAACTGAATATAATAAGGATAGAGAACACATATTTAGTTTACAACTTTTTCTGATATATATATATATAAAACTGCATTCATATGCAGATATATATATGTATATATGTATATACCAGTGAAACTATTATCACTATTAAGATAGTTAACATCCACCATCATGAAATTTCCTAATGGAGTTATTCAGCCCACACAAAGCAAATATAAAACTGGAATTTAACTCTATCTTAGACAGAAAATAATATATGTAAAGAGAATATATAGAGACAGAGAATATATAAATATACATACTGAAGTATTAGAAAGATTGATTTTCTTTTACTAGCAATGAGAATTATTCAGGGCTTTTTGCTGGGTTGGCAAGTTTTTAGTGATTTTAGCTATGCCCCTGTCTTTGAAAAGACATTTAATAGTATAACTTTTTGTCTTTTCTTCATGTATACAATCTTGAAGCTTTGCGTAAGTTACTGTTTTGAATATTGTATTTAAAGAAAGGCTAGTTCATAAGTATTTAGCCATTCACTCTATAAATATATTATATTGTCATTATTTTATTAGTTAAGATTTTCTTTTCCAAGATAAATATCTTCCATCTTCAGCACATAAATACTTATCTCAAAGAGTGAGTCATTTTGTAGAACAAAATTTCACATATGTAAAGAATTAGAAAACATGACACAGATAGGCATCTCTGATAACAACTGAATCAGAGCCAGGCATTGTGAATCATACTTGTAATCCCAGCTTTTGAGGAGCAAAAGGCAAGGGGAGGAAAAATTTGAGGCTAATTTAGGCAACAGTAGCCAGGCACCACCCCTGCAAAGAAGCTATAACAATAAAAGGACTGGGGTATAGCTTAAGCAGCAGAGTGCTTGCTGTGAATACACAAGGGGCCACGGGCAATACTCAGAACTAAGAAAACAGAGTGAATGACACATTCCAATAGCTAGTAAAGAACTAGTAAACGTGCTGGTAAATAATTTTCAAACTGAATGTATCCTAAGTCTGTTCTCATTTTATCAGTCTATGTTGTAATGTGATGTGCCTCCTTTATCATGGATCTAGTGTTCTTTTTGTTGTTGTCATTGTTGTTTGTTTGGTTGTCAGTCCTGGGGTTTAAATTCATGGCCTGGGTCTGTCCCTTGGCTTTTTTGCTCAAAGCTAGATCTTTGCCACCTGAGCCACAGCTCCACTTGTGTCTTTTGCTAGTAATTAATTGGAAAGAATTCTTTCACAACTTTTCCTGTCTAGGCTGACCTCAATCCATGATCCTCAGATATCAGCAACCTGAGTAATGTGGGTTTGGGGGCATAAGTAATGTTAAGGTTTCTATTGATAGAAATCTCAAGCCCCTAATGCCCAAGTAATCATTCATGTTTGGCAAGATCCTATTGGCAAAAGCCAATTTCAAGGCTAACCCAAAAGACAACCTGGGAGAGAAAATAATTGCCTGGATGTAAGGAGTAATGTACTATGAACATTAATATGTATGTTTAATGTGATATTTCTAAAGATGTACTATGAACATTAATATGTATTTAATGTTATCTTTCTAAAGACTGTATAATTGCATGTATGATACTTATACATCAGATTTATTGAAAGCATCTGAGTATCAGTAGTCAGTTCTATTTTTGTTTAGAAAAATAGTATTATCATAAAGATTCCAGTAAGAATATAATAATATGCATATAATTAATTCTTGTGAATATAACCTTATGAGTTCACACTTTCATAACATACTTTGTCTCCTCAATATACAATGTTCATTTAGAAGATAAGCCTAGATTATAACATCGCATATATCACGTAATCTTTAATAGCTTTATACCTCTATCAACCCAGTGAGGACAAAGGCTGACTGTTTAAAAAAGTATAACATGTTTAATTAATTAATCCAATCATCTTAACAGTGAATACATCCACCCAAAAACTAATTCTAGCAGCTTATACACACATAGAAATCAAGATTGAATCACACTCTAGTCATATGCACATATACAAATTAGAACTATAAAAATAAACTTTGCCACTTGAATGGCTTCACCAGGCTGCCAATTTGGGCCAGAACTTTCTCAGGGCCTCCCTCACATCTTTGTTACGTAGACTGTATATCATGGGATTGAACATGGGTGTCAAAATTGTATAGAACAGAGAAAGCAGTTTGTCCGTCCCCTCATACTGAGTGGATTTCGGTTTCAGGTAGGTGACACTGGCAGATCCATAGAATAAAAACACGACGATAAGGTGAGAAGAGCAAGTGGAAAAGGCTTTGGACCTTCCGCTGTTGGATGGCAGCTTCAAAATGGTTGAGATAATTCTCACATAGGACACTAAAATGCACATAAAGGGAACGGTGACGATCAGCACTGCAAATACAAAGACCACCAGCTCGTTCACGAACACGTCCCCACAGGCCAGTTTGAGCATGGGAGGAATGTCACAGAAAAAGTGATCGATTTGATGAGAGTCACAGAAGGGCAGAGAGAAAATCTGGATCGTTTGTCCGACTTGCACTGGCATTCCACTGAGCCAGGCGGCAGCAACCAACTGAGTGTAAGCTTTGCGGTTCATGATGAGAGGGTAGTGGAGAGGGTGGCAGATGGCCACATAGCGGTCATAGGCCATCACAGCTAGCAGGAAGCACTCTGTGGCTCCCAGAATCAAGAAGAAACACATTTGTGTCGCACAGGCATACAAAGAAATAGTTCCTTTCTGGGTCCAAAGGTCCATGAGCATTCTGGGAAGGGTGATGGACACATAGCAGATCTCTAGGAAAGAGAAATTGCTGATAAAGAAATACATGGGTGTCTGAAGAGCGGGATCCACTCTGGTTACCACAATAATGATTCCATTCCCTAACACAATAATCATATAGATGACGAAAAATATTCCAAATAGAAACCCTTGCAGTTGGGGTAGATCAGAAAAGCCCAAGAGAACAAATTCTGTCATCACAGTAGAATTTGTTCCTGTAACTTCCAATTGGTCTCTTTCCCATAGACGCACATTTCTTGACTGCATTTTTCTGTATGCAAAGTGGATTGGAATGTGAGTTTTTCTTTATATTTTTAAGGTTTTCTTCTTCATCATACAAATCTTTATTCTGGGAGACTTTAAATGGAACCAGGTGAAATAGACACATCGAAATAAAACACCAGATCAATTTCATCAAGAAAAACTTTTAAAATATATTTAAAATGTTTGGGCATCCGTATTCTTAATAATAATACTGCTATTTTAGGTTATGTATTGATTTTTGCCCTTTAACAATGCAATTCATGTATACAACATATCTTGATCCATGTCATCCCTTCCACATCTTCACCCCTCCTCTTCCCTTATTTTTCTCAGTTGTGTGGCATACACACAATTCATTCTTGCCTGCATTCATCCTTCTACCCCAGACCTCTTAACACCCTCCCCATTGCAAGTTCCCATTTCCTAGTATTCATTTTGTTAGACTTTGACTTAGTCTTCCTAAAGAATTACACTATTTGCAGCTCTTTTGTCTTTGTGGTGTTTAATTAGAGTAAAGAATTCTCATGGACTTTGATCTTCTGACTATGATCTTCTGATCTCAGTCTCCTGAGAAGCTATGATGATAGGCATGAGCCACCAGTACCTCACCAGTGTTTGAATTTGACAAATGAAAATGCATACATATATACATATCCATTACAATTATTGAGCACAGACAAATTGGTTAGACATTTGTATATTGCAGTTTCTGGAAAGATGTTAACTTTTTAACCAAGTAGATTAGAAAATTTTGGTAATGGTCAATTAGAAAATTATATTTAAGAACATATTATTAAATATCATGGTGTTAGATAGCTGATACTGTATCATATTATGATTCTCAACTTTATTAATAGTTCTGAAAAATATTAACATATTTTGTGTTACCTTTTAGTTCCAGTTTTGCACATATTGTTTCTTTCCCTTTTCTTTAGTGTAAATATTATGATAGAAATTTACATGATTTTTAACCAACAAATCTACTTGATTTGGGCAAAGCTAGTCTTCTTTATAGAGGAAATATGTTTTTCCTGTGGGGATATCTCTTTTCCCTTGTCATATCTAAATTGCATAGCTCACTGTCTGTGGTCCCAATTAGTCTGTTTTTACAATCAACTCTGCATAACAGGCCAAGTTTTTTCTGAATTCTCTCCATGGAATATAGTTTATAGTGTTCCTTTTCTTAAAATACAATCAGATCACCTGCATATACCAGAAGAATTAACATTATTTTGCTTAATATTAAATATAAGGTAGCATTCAGACATTTTATTTCTTACCTATCTTATGAACATGCCTTTTAGTGACCTGAATTTCTTGGTGGCAGCATTTGAATATTTAGAATTTGTTTTCTTATCTTTGAGGAGTACTAGTTTTCCTCGATGCGGTAAATATTTTTACAGTGCCAAGGAACCAACACAGTGAATTGCTGGTTAATCTATATCATGGGAGAAAATCATTCATACTTATTCATTTGATAGAGGATGAGAATCCAAAATATATACTAAACTCAAAACTTAACCAGAGAAATTAATCCACTCAAAAACTGTGCAACTCAACTAAATGTTTTATTTTAACTATAAACGATCTGCTAATACTTGAAAGGTGTTCCAAATATATACAAATTCAGGAACTGTAAATTAAATCTACACTGAGATTCCATATCCATCTAGCCTGAATGAATATCATCAAGAAACAAACAATAATGAGAGAAAAACAAATCCTTCAATACAGCTGATAGAAATGGAAATTAGTCTGGTCACGATGGTACTCATTGTAGAGGTGTTCAAAATTTCAAAGATAGTACTATCATGGGATCCAGTTGTCATCTAAGTACATGTTATAAATCAAAGTCAGCACACACTAGAGACTTCCATACCAATGTTTGGGGCGGCATAGTTCATAATAACCAAGTTTGGTGGACAAATGAACAAAATATTATATGTACGTATAAATGTACATATGCATGTGTATATACATATATGCATATATATACACACACAAACACACACACAATGAGGTAAAATTGAGTCATACAGAAGAACAGAATATGCCATTCTCTGGAAAGGGGAACAATCTATACTCAGAAATGTGTTTTATCTCATCGATGGAGTGTAGCTCTTTAAAGAAAATTATGATAAATGAGGAGGGTGTAATGGGGGAAAAGAGAAAGCAAAGAATATGGATACAGGGATATATAAGGGGGATAGTTATGAATAGTACCAAAGTGCATTACACTCATGTATCAACTGTCACACAACTGATTTTTTATCCTGTTGTGGAATACTAAGTCCTTCTGTGGAGAAGTGGAGAAAAATCACATTGAGAAATACAGGGTCAACATTTTATTGGTGGATTCAATGTACAAACAACCATAATAGTGTTATGACTTATTTTCTACTCTTTTACAAGTAGAAACATGCACATATAGGTCACTGGCCATTCACAACCTAGCTACTCAGAAGGCTGAAGTCTGAGAAGCCTGGTTAAAAGTCAATCTTTCATTACAGGCAAGTCCCACAAGACTTTTATCTACAAGTAAACTCTAAAAAGCCAGAAGTTTGAGCCTAAGGACTGGCATGAACAACAGCAACAATAACAAATTATGTACACATATACACATAAGTATTCTCACTCATTAGGAAACATCATGCCTATTTATTTATCAAGTAGGTAAATTTGGAACCATATTAGTTGAGCTGCATTTACTTTTATCAATGTACAATTTTTAATTAGAATGCTTAATTCCTTAGAAATCAGTATCAGTCCAATATATTACCATTTTCCATTTCTTCCACTTTCTTTCACTTATACTCTGTTTTCTGTCATTTTGAGCTGATTCAATTATTTGTATATTTTTATTATATCTGTCTTTTATGTGCAGCAAGTTAGTTGTTTCAGTGGTTAATAAAATTCTGCATCTTTAATCTACCAAAATGTATCTACTGTCAAAACTGTACCACTTTGGCTGCTTGCCAGGGCTCATGCCTTCACTCCTGACTACTGAGAACACTGAACTCACAGGATCATAGTTCGTAGCAAAAAATCTAGAGATTCTTAGCTCCAATTAGCCAACAAAAAAAGCCACTAGTGGAGCTGTGGCTCAATGGTCAAGTGCTACCCTTGAAGCAAAAACAATAAAAACAACAACAAAACCTCAAGGACAGCATCTAGGCAATGACTTCAAACCCAACATACACACACACACACACAGACACATACACACACAGACACACACACACACAATAAATAAATAACAAAAATGTACAATTTTGATCTTTATTCTTTATGAATGGATTTCCTACTTTGCTTCTCCTTTTCATTCCTTTGTCTTTCACATCTCCATCATCAAGAAGGAAGGATCTTTATGGTTTGCCTATAAAAAGTCTCCCACTGGGGCTGGGAAGATGGCTCAGTGGTAGAGTGCTTACCTTGCATGCCTGAGGCCCTGGGTTTGATTCCTCAGCACCACATAAGCAAAAAGAAAAAAGCCGGAAGTGGTGCTGTGGCTCAAGTGGTAGAGTGCTAGCCTTGAGCTGAAGAGCTGAGGGACAGCGCCCAGGCCCAGAGGTCAGGCCCCACAACTGGACCCCCTCCCCCCAAAAAAGTCTCCCACATCCATGGCCCTGACTCATAGGTTCAGTGTCTCATACAATAATCAGATATGGAGAATTGGGGGAAATGATTGAATAATATACCACCTTCTTTTCTTAGCTAATATATAGTAATAATAATATAATAATAATATCAGCTTAATGTGGACTGTTGAGTCCTGTGAAGAGAGTGTGAGAAATACCTGCAGGAAAGAAAAGTGGGCTCTGTAGTTGCTGGGTTAATTGCTTAGACAACTCAGTACCAGCGACTATTTCTTTTTCCGCACTAGTTTTACTGCCCAAAAATCCGTTTACACATTAAAGTTATTGTCTTGAGAAAGATAAATTACAATTTTCTTTTTTTGTAGTGATTTTTTAAATTGTGAAAATACTCTACAGAGGGGTTACAATTACATGAGCAATGTAACAGTACATTTCTTATCAATTATTGTTGCCGTCTCGTTTGTTTCCCCTTACCATCCCTGCCCCCCACCCCTGCACCAAGGTTGTAAAGTTTGTTTATCGACATAACGTCTTGTACATCTCATTGTTGCAATGGGTCCACCTGTATCCCTATTTAAACAATTTGTGTTTTCCCTTCCTCCACAAATTATACTAACATCAAATACAGTGAAAACATTTTCTTATTCAATTTATATTTACTCATTATAAATGTGGCTCTATATGTGACAGCACATTCATTATATTGATTTTTTAATACGTAACTTACTTTTTGCCAGTTCTGGTCTTGAATTCAGGGCCTACACATTGTCCTTGAGCTTTTTGTGCTCAGAGTTAATGCTCTACCACTTTAGCCACAGCTCTACTTCCAGATTTTTTTTGGTGATTAATTAGAAATAAAGATGTTTATTGCAGCATTATTTACCACAGCTAAGATATAGAACCAACCAAGATGCCCCGCAGTAGATGAATGGATCAAGAAAATGTGATAGACACACACACACACACACACACACACACACAATGGAATTCTATGCCTCAATCAGAATGAATGACATTGCCCCATTTGTTTTTTTTTCTCTTTTTTTTTTAATTGTGAAAATACTGTACAGAGGGGTTACAATTACATGGGAAAGATAATGAGTACATTTCTTATCAAGCATTGTAGCCTCCTCCTTTCTTTCCCCTTCTCATCCCTTCCCATCCTCCCCTTGCCCTCCCTACCCAATCCTCCCTGCTCCCCCTCCCCCCCACCAAAGTTGTAAAGTTCATTTTCGACATAACGACTTTTACATCTCATTGTTGCAATGGGTCCACCTGTATCCCTATTTAAATGATTTGTTTTTCCCCTTCCCCTCCTGGCCTGGCTTACTGACATTACCCCAATTGTTAGGAAATGGAAAGACTTGGAAAAAATTATACTAAGTGAAGTAAGCCAGGCCCAAAGAAACATAGGCCCCATGGTTTCCCTTATTTGTAATAGTTAGTATATGTCTGAGACAAGCAGAAAAGGTCAGATATGTTGATGTTAGGTGAAATGAACCTCAAATTAATTATTCAAATATTTTTTACTTTCATGCAATTGTTTCTAACATATTTATAAGATGATTTTTTTGTTGCTTTGTATGTCCTTCCCCCACGTTATATTCCCTGCTTTCACTGTATTTGATGTTGGTATAATTTGTGGAAGGGCAAAAACAAATCGTTTAAATAGGGATTCAGGTGGACCCATTGCAACAATGAGATGTACAAGATGTTATGTCGAACAAGGAACTTTACAACTTTAGCTTGGGGTGCGGAGGTGCGGGGGGTGGATGGGAAGGGATGGGAAGGGGAAACAAAGGAGGAGGCTACAATGCTTGATAAGAAATGCACTCATTATCTTGCCCATGTAATTGTAACTCCTCTGTATGTTATTTTCATAATAAAAAATGTTAAAAAATAAAATAAAAAATAAAAGATCTCATGGTCTTTCCTGCCCACTCTGGCTTCAAAATGTGATGCTCAGATCTCAGCCTCCTGAGTGGGTAGCATTACATGCATGAACACAGTGCTTGTCTTAAGAAACAACTTTTAAATACAATAATGAACTAGAATGTATAATATGAACTTTGGGTGACAATGAGGTTCATCAGTTATTAGAAATAAACTTTTGTGGAATGATGTTGGCAAAGGCTGTTCTCTTGTTGAAAAGCATTCCAGGCGTGAGCAGAAAAGGCCAACAGAGAGTATGAAACCCTGACTACAAGCCTCAGTACCCCACACACAGAAAGAGGAGGTCATTATTGTCAGTAATATCACTAGCAATAATGAGTATTCATTTGTTTTATATGTATATTATATATTATATATATATTTTATATATTATATATATTTGTTTTATAAATGCTTCAAATATTTTAATTGGTCAACTTATCTTATCTTAATAATAAAGTTAGAAGTATACCACACACACATACACAAACACACACACAGACACACACAAATCTCAAAATATTTTTCATTTCCGAGTATAGTTTCTAGTGTTCTGCTTTTTTCTTTTTAGTCGTGAGGCTTGAACTCAGGGCCTAGGCACTGTCACTGAACTCTATCTTTCAAGGCTAGCTCTCTACCACTTTGAGCCACAGCACAACTTCCAGTTTTCTGGGAGTTACCTGAAGGTAAGAGTCTCACAGACTTTCCTCCCTGGGCTGGCTTTGAACTGCCATCCTCAGATCTCAGCCTCTTGAGTAGCTAGAATTACAAGCATGAGCCACTGATGCCCGGCTATTTTCTATGATTTTAATGAACTTTTTGCTATAAATATCACATTCCATCCCTTTAAAAATACATCTCCAAAAATTAAATAAAAATATTGTGGGTTATTATATTTAATATGAATATGATATGTTTTCTTCTTCCAGACATAGATAGACTTTATTCATTCATCCTTTTTTGTAAATATTTTTTAGACAATCAACCAAGTACTCCTGGTAAATGCCAGTATTCCTGGTATTTACATAAATTATAGGGGAAAATGCTAGCTGTAAGTAATGTAAATAGCATATAACATACAATGCATAGAATGGTGGCTTAAGGATTTTGTTACAAGTAAAACTGGAAGCTTAGAGCAAAGGTAGAGGAATGGTATCATTGCTAAAATGAGATTTGGAAAAAAGTAGAAAAAGTAAGTGAGGATAAGTTGAACCAGCCTGTGAAAAAGCAGGGTAGCTTGTGTGTAGCTGGCTTGTGTGTCTGTGTGTGCTGATGAATTCCTGAGCAAGCAGGAGGACAGAATGTCTGGAATAGAGAAAATTATGGCTTAAAAATATGAAAGTGATAAAATTACATTGTTAATTTCTTCAACACAAATCCCCTTCCACTAAAAGTATATCTTATTTTCAAAGTACTCTATAATTCAGAGATGAACTATTTGTTTAGATCATTGTCAATTCTACTATAATAATAAGGTTATTTACTTTTCTTAGTTCTAGATGTAGGAGATCAGAGGTTTCTTTATTCACCTCAGTCTTTGAGATGGACTCCATTACTGTTCACTTGTGAGAGACTGGATGGATATATACAGTTGAACAAAAGTTGTTTTCTTTCAAATCTTCAAATGTTCTATGCGACTTTAACTGCATCTCAATGAAATTACAGCCAGCCTAGAAAGAATCCCATAGAATCATCTAGATTAATGAGTTTTCAGTGGCAGAGTGCCCTGATCACTGATTGTCTTGTGATCATTCTTGTGTTTTTTAATGACAGATTCAGCTAATGAATGAAAGAGAATCAAATCTCTATGAAAGTTCTGGCTCATTGTTAAGAACATGAAACTAGGATCTAGTCCTTCATGAGGCCAAGTGAAAGTGTTTTCTCTATATATCCATGCAGTGTGTCTACCTATTTTGTACTTGATAGCCACCTAACCAACTCAAGAAAGTGACGAACGTGAACATTAGAGGGAAAATTCATTTCTTCTAACTCCACTTGGTCTTGGATACTTCCTATCTACCAAATACATGTCATCCTCTCTAATGGGAAACCACCAGAGTCAAAGAAAGCAGAGAATTATTAAAAACACTTTGTTCCCCTCCCCATAGAATGTGGACAGATGTAGTTCTGATAATTCAGTCTTTCTAACTCATCCTTTACTAAACATGCCTTAAAATACTTAATGTCTCCTTCTTTTGTTTCCTCAATAATTAAACGTCTTCCTTGCCAAAAGAGAAGAAAATGTTAGGTGTCTTAGCTAAGCCCTGTTCTTCTCTCATGAGAGCTATCTGCAGAATTTCAATAGCTTGTGGTCTGATAGCTGCAAGGGTCCATTAAAATTTCATATAAAAGATAATGAAATATCTATCACATAAAATGTTTGAAAAGATGAGAACATTTATTATCCTGTGTACTCCCTACCCATCACATACATTGTTGTAATGTACCCTCTGAACTGTTCATAGAATTATTATGTCTCAATAAAAATATATCCCGTGAAGATTTACAAAGGCTCAAAATTTCTACTATTTGGATTGACAAATCTGCCTCACCAAGTATGAGAGAGTTCAATATCATCCTTTCTTCAAATAGCACTCCTGTACTCCAATTAGGAGTTTTCAATCATTGATTTTAATAAGAATATTTATCATTTCAATATTTACAACACTCACTAAATATATTATTGACACAGGACACAGATTCCTTTTATACATAATTTTTCCTAATAACAAAGAAATTACTAATTCTGAAAGAAATGTTTAATACTTAAATATTTTCTTATTCAACGTTCCTGCCTAAAAATGTGAATTTAATTGTTATTTTGTAAGTTATGAAATTAAAGTTAATTAAATTATATATATGTATGTATATATTTATACATACACATATATATGTATGTATATATATAAACATATATATTTAAGTTTTCGGGAGACATAAAGATGAATGACCTTGGGGTGAGGTTTTGCATCTGGGACAAGATCATGAGTTTAAACCCCAGTACTGCATAAAAAGAAAGTACAAATAAATAGATAAATAAATACCTACAAAGGCATTTAAGAATCCAGTATGCTATTTCAGACACTTCAGTGTCATATATTAAGTTTCATAAATTATTGCTTTATATTAATGTAAACTTATTGGATTTATCTAATATTAGAAAACAAAATAAGTATTTAGGGACTAAAGTACATAGAGCTCTGTAGAACCCTTTTTTAGAATTTGCAGGGCTCTGGGTTTGATCCTTCGCACTGAGGCAAACTAAAGAAAACAAAGCTGAGTTCCTTATTTTCAGATAAAAATATATTCAGATGAAAATATTCACTAAAATATTCACAAAATTAATTTATGGAGACTGTGACAAGAAAACAAAGTCATGGGTGTTGAATCATAACACAATCCATTTCAGGAGGAATTTTTTCAATGCCAAAATCACATCTTTGTTTCGCAAGCAATATATCATGGGATTAAACATGGGAGTCACAATGGTATAAAAGAGAGAAAGGAATTTGTCCATTCTTGGAGAATGACTGGACTTGGGTCTCAAATAAGTTACGATGCCTGAGCCAAAGAATAAAGCCACAACCATGAGGTGGGAAGAACAGGTAGAGAAGGCCTTGGCTCTCCCACTGGCAGAAGGCAGCTTCACAATGGTTAAGAGTATTTTCAGATAAGAGCCAAGTATCAACGTAAACGGAATAGTGACAACTATGAAAGCAATTAAATAAAGCACCATCTCAATCATGAAAGTGTCCCCACACACGAGAGCAAGGACGGGAGGTATGTCACAGAAAAAGTGATTCAAATGTTTATGTCCACAGAAAGGTAGAAAGAACATCCAGTATGTGAAACCGATATGTACTGGAACTCCACTGGTCCAACAGCCCACAGCCAGTTGGAGGTACAGTCTGCTGTTCATGATGAGAGGGTAGAGCAGTGGGTTACAAATGGCGACATACCTGTCATAAGCCATTGCAGTCAGAATGAAACATTCTGTTACTCCCAGAAGTGAAGTAAGCCAAGCCCAAAGAAACATAGGTCCCATGGTTTCCCTTATTTGCAATATCTAGTATATGTATGAGTCAAGCGGAAAAGGTCAGATAATGTGATGTCAGGAAAATGAACCCTTAGATATGTATTTTAATGTTTTTTTCTTTCATGCATGTGTTTTTAACGAATTTATAAGATTATCTCTTTGTTGCTTTGTATGTCCCTCCCCCACAGTATAACCCCTGCTTTCACTATATTTGATGTCAGTATAACTTGTGGAGGAGATGGGGAAAAACCAGTTGTTTAAGGATACAGGTGGATCTGATGCAACAATGAGAAGTACAAGTTGTCATGTCCAAAACGAGCTTTACAACGTCGGTGTGGGGGGGGTGGAGGGGGGAAGGAGGTGGGGGGGGGGAAGGAGAAGGATTGGGATGGGGGGGAGGGGGGGAGGCTGGGAAGGGATGGGAAGGGTAAACAAAGGAGGAGGCTGCAATGCTTGGTAAGAAATGTACGCACTATCCTGCCCATGCAATTGTAACCCCTCTGTACAGTATGTTCACAAATAAAATAAAATTAAATTAAAAAAAAAGAAAATCCGGTCAAAATGAATTCTACCAATGAAGTATGATTCTCCTGTAGGGGGCGTTGCATTGTAGACTCCATCTGTGAACAAAATGATTCCAAGATTTGGATCCCTGCACTCAGTCGCAAAGTGGGATATATGACTGGCCTTAAATCCTCTAATGCCACATTGATGTCTAGTTGTATTTGTTGGCTTGTTTTACATTTTTAGTGATCCACTTCAAAGTCAATGTTGTAAATTCCTAGGATGTTAAAAAAAATAAACAAACCACAGTAATTTTAAAATCTGCCCTTTGGCTCACAGTGGTGTGTGTGTGTGTGTGTGTGTGTGTGTGTGTGTGTGTGTAAAAGGACAACAGCTAAAATGTAAGAGCAAGCGATGTTGTCACATAATCTTAACACATGGTGTTTCTGTCAATTTCTGCCATTCTATAACAAGAAATTCTGCTCTATCCTAATCAATATGATGGTTTGCTGCTTTTATTTACATTTATAATATTGTAATTCACATTTCTCTGGATGTATTTCCTGGGATTGGCCTTTCAGATCTTAAAAATCCGAAGTGTATGATAAGCATGCACTGAACTGCCCAGATTCAGAAAGACAGGCCACTCACTCCCTTGGAAATATGCTCAGAAACGAATAGAAAATAGTTGTCAATACCATCTTGTCTCCAGTGCAGTGATAAATTGTATTCAATAAGCTATACAAACACACATTAGAATATATAATAAACCATATATTCACATGAAGTTAAGAATGTGAAGTAAGGAAAATTGACATTTTCTTGTAATAGGCCCTTAACTTTATCACAGCCCCCCAAAATCTTTGACAAGTGTATTAGTGTTCTGAATTTTAGGCCATGAAGCCATTGGTGGAAATGGTTAGAACTTTATAGTTACATGGAATATATAATTATTAGGAAAATATTATTGAGTTCAATCATGCTGCAAGCCAAAATATAAAATTTTGTGCACCTTGACTCTAACTCTAATATAAATTCCTGGAAATGAACAACATCTAAGTGTGTTTGTTATGTATATATACATAACAGATGTATATATTTATATATATATATACACATATCTGTACATATGTGTGAATGTGTGTTCATGTATGTGTATATCTGTATAAAATTTAATATACTGTTAGGTGTTATTTTGGTAACAGTCATATATATTTGTATTCTAAGCATTTTTTTCCTTGATAGATGCTAGAAAATATAGTGCTTAATACAGTATTGGCTAAGCCTAACACTTCAAGACTTAAAAGTGTTTTAGACAAGAGCAGTATCTCCTCCACCACACTAGACCTTAGTTATGACATTGAATATCTATTTGTCTTTTTTTCCTTTATTCATTAAAAAGTGTGGCTTCCATCCCAGTAGTCAATCTCAGTAATCATATTGTCATGAGTTTTATACATTCTCCGATTTCCCAGATTACAAATTCAAAATAACTCATTACAGAGTACAAACTTCATGAATTCTGTTAAGACCTCAAGATCCTCTCCCCATCCCAAATCTCAAATTACATAAACACTCCTCGTTTCTACTTTACTAGCTTGAGTAGTTTTATTCGTTTTGTTTTTATTGGTTTCGTTTTGCTTTTTGCTTTCTTCTGTCTTTGCTACTCACTTGCATCTTAGGCGTGTGGGTCCCCCTGGGTGATGGGAATCTCCCACAGTAACTCAAAGTCACTTCCACACCATCTTGGCTCACAGCTCAAGGTCACCAACAGGAGGTTTCAGATTCTGGGAAAGCTTTTAATTCAAATGGTTCCTTCTATAAACTGAAACTGTGTATTGCCTAAAATAATTTCTTGCCATTTCTAACATGGCTCTTTCTTTTTTTTCCTGCCTTGTTCTTCTCTTCTCATTTCCATGCCTTGGTCAGAAAGTTTTTCATTTTACATCTTCTCACAGCTTTATGTAGTGTTCCATATACACATAAATACATTGAAACATACGTACATACATATATACACATATACATTCTTTACCATAAGTCATTCCTATGGAAAACCAACTGTAAAATTCTTAGAATTTAATGTAAATAATGTAGGGATGATTGACTGAATAAGATTATAAATCAATCTATAACCCATAATTTATTATTTAACATCTGTCCTTCAAATACTAAGGTTATTAATGGCAGGATAAATTATATAAGCACAGTTTCTGTCTTTGCTGATTATAAGGATGACTAATAAAGTCAAATGGGTTTCAGATATAGTAATATATATCTATTCCTTTATAGAGAAAACTACCAGTGTTTTTAGTGTCCAGACCATTGCTATACAAAGTTCTAGCTAATATGAGAAAAGTTGTCAAATATGTATATGAGAGTAATTTTATTTTTACTGTTCAGAAAATGAAATATAGAAAATGAAATGCACTCCTCCAAGGAAAAAACAATAACAGGGCTTCAAAATCTCACTTAGATTTCTATTTTGAGAAGTAGTGAGATGCCATTACTAGTGACTGTTTCATAAATATTTATGACTGAGTATGGGCAGGAATAAAGATGTCTGATCTATCTGAATGAATGTCAACAAGTGGATTTATTCCAGTACTCATAGACCAAAGAACAGTGAGTAACTGAAAATGGATATTAGCTATAGTAGCATTATGTACCTTTAGTGAAGTTAACAAAGCAAGTGTGTGTGTGTGTGTGTGTGTGTGTGTGTGTGTGTGTGTGTATGTGCGTGCGTGCGCCAGCATTGGAGCTCATTGTAAGTATGATTACTAGTTCAACCTGTGCTGTTGCTACATTAAATATTGTTCACATTTTATATTATTTTAGAGTAGCTTGTTCTCAGTCCATAAAAGGAGGCACTATTTTCATCCACCACACTTTATTGGTGGATTAAAATCAGGAACAGGACAAGTAGAGCTGTGGAGAACCATCAATAGCACCTACTAGGTGAGCTATCCTGAACATCTCTATGTTGCAGACTCTGTGTTAAGGATGTTACTTGATTCTTCCCAACGAATGCATTCTGAAAGAACTAGGAACTGTCACTGTATTCACATTTTACATGATGAGCAGCAGCCTGAGAGATTTATTAACTTTCTTGATATGTACAAGCTAGCTTCAACATAGCTAAATTCAAACACTGGAATGTGGTGGCGGAGTACATAAAAATTCAATGCTATAAAAAATTCAATACAATTGTACTGATATTCCCAATAATATCAAGAAATTTTTAAGAAATAGCAAACCATATCTTAAAAGAAATTCAGTCCCTTCATACATATCGATTATCATTACATAATGGGTTAGAAATTATTTTTATTGGTACACTGGATATATATTTTGATTAAAACTATTTATACCATAAATGTGATTTGAAAGAAACTATTTCCTTCAATGTCCTTATTTCTTTTTTTCCAATTTGCTTTATTTTTGTTTTAGAGGTGATCTATAGCGGGTTTACCTTTCTATACATTTGGAAATGAGTACATTTTCTTTTGCATAATGTCAGCTGATTCCTCATTCTCTCCCATTCCCTATCTCCTAGCTCTACTTATGAGTTACATGATTCTCTTTCATCAATGTCCAGTGCAGCTAATGCGTTCCACTGCTGCACTTTCCCCCCCTTTCCTCTGATTCTGTGCCCTTCCTCCACTCTCCCACAGATGAGCACAGAATATACTTTATATAAAGAATATGAGGTAAGCCAAGATCAGAGAGACAAATGACACTTGGTCTCCTTGATATGTGGATGTTAAAATCAAAATGCAAGGAGATATGACAAAGTAAACAAGACTCAAGAAACAAAGGACCTCTTTGTAATTTGTCATATCATTTTTAGATCACCCCATGTTCTTGACCTCACATATGGTATGTACATGCGCACATCTGAGGGAAGCTGGGAGGAGGGCACAGAATCAGAGGGAAACAGGAAAAAATACAATAGCAGGGCCCTTCAGCTGCACTGGACATTGATGAAAATGAACTAAGCAACTCAGGGGTAGCGATGGGAGGGAGGGAATGTGAGAAAGAAGGAACAGCTCACAGTAAGCAAAAGGAAAGAAATGCACATATAACCCGATTTGGGAAAAATAGCTGTAGTGTCAATGTTTGTAGAGATCATAAGCTTTATAGACCATAATAATGACAATGAAGGTTAAAATCTGTTTGTGACTTTAAGTATCACTATGTACCATAATATTGTGAATTTTGTGAAATTTATATAATTAATCTCAATAAAGGAAAACACACACGCACAAAAAGAATACAGAGTGAACAAGAAAAGAAAAAAAGATTACCAAAAATGTCCTTTCTTTCCATATCTTTAGAGCTTGTTTTGGTATGTATATTATTTTATATACAGATGAACGGGCACTTTTGCCTCCTAAGACTATCCTCTTTTTAGTACCACTGTGCGTGTGTATCTAGAATTCTGGGTATATTGTCATATTCTGTGCCTT